CCCCATCTAGACTGGCGCTTTTTGCCGGCAAAGCCCCGAGCTGGAAAAAAGCAGCAGCCATATTCATGCAAATGCCGCGGGGGATATTTAAATTCCCCGCAGCATTTGCAATTCCGAAGAGTCTCATTAGCATCCCTTTTCCGGAAAGGGGTGCCAATGTAGACACAGCCCAGGTCTGTACAAGTACTGTGCTTCAATTTCTCCCCATCAGTAAAATGGGGGCAATGATAAAACACTTCATAGAGCAGATAGGTATTATTATACAGCTGTTATGAGGAGACTCAGTCAATAGGACCGTTCATGGAGCAAGGCACTCCATTTGGGATATGGTTTGTACATGAGGTGCTTTGCAAATTTTGTCTGCCTGTGGCCCAGGTGAGATAAGGGGGATGAATGAGGGGAAACGCTTCTCCCTCTTTTTGCATGCCCTGAAAAAGAGCCAGTCCCAAACTGCAGTCCTTGTGCTTGGAAGGGCACAGAAACCTGCTCTCATCCATGCATCATAGAGGGGATATCCGAAAGAATAGGGGTCCATCATACAGCTGATTATGTGGAAAGGGTATGTGTCCTGGGAGCCACCTGGTATCCAGAGCTCTGTGGTTCTAGAAGCTAGACAGAATTGTAGCATTGTCTTGCTAAGACACTATAGAGTACAACATCGGAAGCAAAGCCTAATGGTGTTAGAGGACCTGGCTATCACTCGCTGTCTTTGTTGACTTCTGTCTTATTGAAGTCATAGCCTGTGCAGGCTTTACAGTTGAGCTGGTAGGTATAATTAAATAGTGGGTCTGTGGACCCACCCTGAGAAAGCTGCTACTGGGCCAATCTGGTTTGTTTATTTACTGGTTCCACAGCCACGGTGCCTCGTGGCTTCCATAAGCTGCAGTTTGCCATTTGTAGCGACGGGGAGCTGCAGAAAGTAGCATTACCTGGGCTGCAGCTTCCGGTGGCTCCCCTTGGCTGCAAATGGTGAACCAAAGCCAATAGGAGCCATAAGGCTTTGTGGCTGGGCCACGGATGCTTTTGTGCAAAAGCACATCTCTCGCGCAAAAGCACATGCCAGTGTAGACGCTCTCTTGCGCAAATACTTTAACGCAAAAACTCTTGCGTTAAAAGTATTTGCGCAAAATCTTGCCAATGTAGATGTAGCCCAGGAGTTTGGTCTAGAGCACCCTGTAGGCATCAGTGTCAGTTGAATCTGGGGAGAAGAAACTGGCTTTGAAGGCCCAGCCTTTCCACAGATCTCTGGATTGGTGAGAGGGGTGCCATGCTCTGCCGACAGATGACGTGGTTTTTGGGCTCTCCTCTTTTTCTCCAGAGTGTAGACAAGTGGAAACTGCAATCCATCTTCCAAAGATAATGGTTCAGGATCAAACAAAGGCCCCCTGGGCCCACTGGTCCTCCAGGGCCCAGAGTTCCTTCCACTTCTCCTGGTACACTTTGCAGAGGGGTGGATCCTTGGGGCCAGTAGCCAGACTCCTCTCCAGCTCCAAGACCTCATGCTCCAGCTGCCCTATCACTGCTTCTCTCAGCCAGCTGGCACCCTGGGAGTAGTCACTGCAGAAGAGACAGGCACACACCTTCCCCATAGCCCACCATCACTGTGCTGAGGGAAAGGTGGGCCACTGCCCCTGCCAGGCCAGCCAGAACTCCAGTAAGGATGCCACAAAGCCCACGTCTTCCAGCAGGCTGTTACTGAAATGCCAATATGCCAGTCCCAGCCTCTCTGTGCTGAGAGAGGCCTTCACAGCCACTTGAGGGTGGTCCAAGAACAGGGTTGGCCAGATGCTGGAGGAGTGGGCTCTTGCCAGATGCAATCGAGACAGGTAAATGCAGTCCAACCAGGAGTGGCTCAACCAATCATCCTCCACCAGGACAAAGGTGAAGGTGGTGGTGTCTTCCAGGTGATGATCACACCAGATGTCCAGCAGGGAATGATGTTCCACAATGTCCCTGAGGACACCCTCTACCCAGGCCCGGACGTACAGCAAACAACCTGGGATGACCTTGGCAACCCCTGTGCACCTGGGGCCATAGGGTTGGGGAGAATAGGGTGACCACCCCAGGGCTGTGTCTAGATTGCACCCCTTTTCCGTAAAAGGGATGCAAATTAGACACATCGCAATTGCAAATGAAGCGGGGATTTAAATCTTCCCCGCTTCATTTGCATAAACATGGCTGCCGCTTTTTTCCAGCTTGGAGCTTTGCCGGCAAAAAGCGCAAGTCTAGATGCGGATCTTGTGGAAAATAAAGCCTTTTCCGAAAGATCCCTTATTCCTGATTTTAAGAGGAATAGGGGATATTTTGGAAAAGGCTTTATTTTCCGAAAGATCCCCATCTAGACTGGCGCTTTTTGCCGGCAAAGCCCCGAGCTGGAAAAAAGCAGCAGCCATATTCATGCAAATGCCGCGGGGGATATTTAAATTCCCCGCAGCATTTGCAATTCCGAAGAGTCTCATTAGCATCCCTTTTCCGGAAAGGGGTGCCAATGTAGACACAGCCCAGGTCTGTACAAGTACTGTGCTTCTGAATGAGTACTGACATGGCTGAAATACACCCGGTCCCTCCACTCCAGCTACCAGCTAGCCTCAATGGCTAGAGGTGTGGGTTCTCCTGCAGGAAGACCACCAAGTATCCACCCTCTTAAAGGAAGGAGAGCATTCAGCTCCTACAGACACACACACACACCCTGCCTCGGGCTTTTAGTGTGGTGAACGTAGTGTACCTTATGATGAGGTTTGGGGGCATGAATACTCATGATCAGGGTGACCCATTGGCCTCCTGCAGCAGATTGTTCCCAGACCTGAAGGACAGAAGAACTTATGCGGAACTTGTGGGCCTGACAATAGGCCACAATGTCTTGCTTATTGGTTCCTCTCCCCTCCTCTTGTGGGCCAGAGGATGCCATTAAAGTCCTCCCAGCACTGAAGGGTGATCTGCACTTTGTACCTGGCCCTGTGGGTGTCCACAAGGAAGTGGCACAGGTCAACTCTCAGCACTGTGGGGGCTGGGGCAACAGTATTTCTGGACCCCTGGATAAACTTCATGGGCTACACTGACAGGCAAGTAGGGATAAGATCTCTGGCACAGTGCCAAAAGCAGTAGCACTGCACAGCCCATCCCCATCTCCAGTGTGGGAGGGGGCGGCAGCGGGAACAAAGCAGCCCCTAGGGGACTGGGAATGGAAAACATGAAAACCACCCCCTGAGGGCTGCTTGTAGCTATCGAAAATGAGATGGCCCCATAGGGGTGGTATGAGAGACCAATAGGAGGGGGTGGGTATTGTAGTGGGGCAGTAGCTAAAGTAGGGACAGAACAAGGAGCGGGGATAGGCATCAGAGAGGGAATAGGGATGAGAGTGGAACTAGGGACAGAAATGAAAATGGGAGTAGAGATCAGGACCAGGAGCAAGGCTCTGACTGAGCCTGGAGCTCTTATAGTCCCAGACCTGCCCTCTGACTTCCTGTGGGCAGGGCTAGGTGTGGCTGGACCCACCTACCTAAAGGTCATAGAGGGCGCTTCCTCTTCTGGGTCAGCAGGTGGCCATGTTGCTGTCCCAGGCTCATTACAGGAGGTGGAGGTGGGCTTAAAAGAGGCTGAGGACTGGTCCAGACCACCAGGCCCGCAGATAGACTATATGATCTGGAAGAACTGCGCACCCTGCCAGAAGTTTCAGTCCTCCAAGAACTAAAAGACCTGAACTAGAGCCAGGTATGCCCTGAGAGGTAGTGTAGAAGTAGCCCAGGGACAGCCAACCTTAGTCTGGATAAACCAGAGCCTGTAAAGTCAGAGTGTTGCAGTCAGAATCCCCATTAACCAAGTGGCAGACTGTGCTGTCACTGTTAGGGCATTTAGTGGGGTGGGCGGGCCTGCACTCCCCCTGCCATCCAA